ATTTGGCCTCTAGATCCAAAGAATGTAGAAAAGACATTTATTTTCATTTTATCTTTTCTCCCCACCACCTAAATAAATAGAAAAGTATTTGCGGAAATAAATGTTAGGATCAAAATAGGTGTGCTATATAATATATATAATCCCATATACATCATTTGTCTCTCTGCTTATGTGTTCCTCAACCCCTACAGGATAAAATAAGTTATAAAAAGAAAAAGATGCTACAGAAATCAACATTATTATCTACAGGCATCAGTAAAGACAGTTGTCTGTAGGGCTTTTAAAATAATTTTTAATTACCAGGCTCTAGTCCCCTTCTCCCAGTCCATCCTCACTCTAAGACATACAGTACAAAGTCCCTAGTTATCTCAGGTATTTGTCACTAATATGTGGCTTTTCAAAGCTTAATTACTGCTTCTGAGGCCTGTTCTGCATGATTTAGGCTGTTGGTATTTACACATGGGTGGCATGAGAAGAATATTTGCAAAAATTCTGAATTTTAAAATTCTTTTCTCCTTTCATCATTTCATCATTCTGTAGGAGACAGAAAAGAATCAGGCTGGCCAGCTCTGTCTGGATTCCTTCCTTACATTATCTCTTTAGTAAATCAAGTATAATCTACTGAATGTTTCTGTAGTGTCCCAGTCAGCCAATTGCTGTGAGCACTGCTCATCTCTGGCTGCAGCACTCTCATCCCCTGACTGCTCCTGAGCCAGAATGGAAATTTCTCATTTGCTTTAGGTCATGAGGACCTAAATCAGGTCTACAGGAGAAAGAACAGTCGCACATGTGGAAACCAGCCAGCAGGGATTAACAACAGAGGTATCTAGCAAGACTTTCAGCTACTACAAGGAGCTTAAAACAAGAATGATGAGCTCTCACACACTTTCCTTCCTCACCCTACAAAAGGAAGAATCTCTGACAGGCTCTGAGTGATTGCCAAGCAGTTCCCTCATCGATTGCTGCCTGACTAGAATAAATCCTTTACCCTCTCTACTTCAGGTTCCTCATCCATAATATGAGAACTATCTCAATAATTAAAACATTGTAGAGCACCTAATCAAATTTCTCTTTGTCGGGCTGAAGAACAGCCAAAGTTTACTTTGAGACAGCAAAAGTTTATGAGACAAAGTTCACAAGAGACAGTATTTTTAGCTAAAGCTCCCAAAATAAACACCTAAAACTAATGTTTGAGCCCAAATGTGGAAGATCATGCATACAAAACACTTATCTGGCTCCTCCTTCCTCACACTTCCAGCCAGACTATTGTTCACCCCAGTCGCAAGTACCCTAATCGCTGCCACGCTCGCCACTAGTCCCCTGGCAGCGCTCCTCCACCAGTCAAGAGAGGCGGCCAGGCGGGAGCAGGGAAGGAGGGCCTGGGGCACGTGAAGCGCCTGCCTGGGCCCTCCCGGTGGCTGCTCCAGCAGCCGAGGAAACACTGTGGCTACAGAGCCCCATGGTTCCTTCTGCCTCCCGCCTCACACTGCCAGCTGGCACAAACTCCTCACCACACCCTCCAAAAGCAAGACTAGTCCTTGGAAACAGGGAGACATTTGACATTGGTTGGGTCAATATGTTAATAGAATAATTCTGCGGCATGGGAGAGGGTAGCAAGAAGGAAGAAGAGAGACAATCTGAGAAGAATTCTACTTCAGCCTTTATTAAGGAGCAAGAAAAAAATATAAAGAAATAGCTTATTTATCTTCAAAGTAAGAGGTACATATTATCAAATTTATTCAATAACTGGTGATTCAATCATAGAAATTTAATGACACAATGGTACAGAGTTAAAAAAAAAAAAACCACAACACCAACATTTCTGGTTGTTAGCCCCCAATTCTCTTTGGTTATTTGTAAAATGCTTCAAAATCTATACAAGAGGTAACTTTTAGAAACTATTTTGCAAATAAGGAAAAGTCAAATGATGCCTATTGGTTTCTCTGATACTAATTGTATGCTTATTTTATTTTTGTCTCCTATACACAAAACTTTGTCCTTCTATTGCCCTTAAAGGTACACTTTATTTCTTTTACATCTCCATTTAAGGTTTATATTTCTTAAACTGTCTAATCAAACATTTTGCTACTAATACTAAGAAGAAAACACTGAATGAATGTCCTCCCATTAATCACAATATATTCCAGTTTTAGGAAATCATTGAGAAAGAAATCAGGTGATTTGGAGGTAAATCCTCTATTTTCACTGATATTCAGCACGCGAATGATGACTTCTTTTATTGCTCACTAGATAACAATACCCTTTCCTTCTGAGAAATCTATGTGGTAATCTCTTCTGGGAGCTTCTGAGTCCCAGGCCCCTAACTACTGTGAAATACTGAAATTACAGTGGGAATTCCATGTGGGAGCCAGATTATAGCAAGAAATTGGAATAGAATCCCTAAGACAGATCCTATTTATGAACTATAATCATTTCGCCTCAGACTCAACAAAAGGGAGGTATGGAAAGGTCATCTACGGGCACCTGCCTGAGAATGTATCTGTACAGTTGTCCCTTAAAGCTCTTTTGCACCACCCTTTGAAATACTCTTGTTACAGGCTGTTTGCCATAAAGTCCTCTGACATAAAAGAAAAACTAACTAAATACACTCATGTAGTTTCCCCATGATAACCAGCTTCTGATTTAAAACACTGCCTTCGTTTTCTCAATCAACATGTATTAAACAATGGTCCTAAAGTGAACCTATTTGGAAAACCAAAATCCAGATAGTAAGGAAATAATTTTAATATTTTAATTCTGAATCATTCTAAGCATGAGAATAGTTTTCTTTCTTAATTTACTTGGATATCATTTTATTCCTTTTTTGTGTCTGATAGTGTCACCATTTTACGAATGGAATTAAGCATAACCATGGGAGAGCCTCTTCATGTTTCTGTTTGGAATTTCTTCAATACTCTTTCAAGAAGTCTTTAATGAAGCTGTGTGGTACAGTGGTTAACGTGGGCTTTGAAGTCAGATTTAGACTCAAATTACGGTTCTACCATTAACGTAACTTCAGGTATTCTAAACTGCACTTTCTTCCTCTGTTTAACGGGGAGAGTCATACCTACCCTAAGGCATGAAGCATACTGCACAGAGCCAGGCACATAGGAATTACTCAATAAATGGTACCTATTATTCTATACATACACACACATTGAAAAATCTGGAAAAATGAAGAAAAAAATATCCTTAATTCTATCACCTTAGTAACATAAACATGTATTTCTTTATAATTTCTGTCCACATAAAAACTTATTTTTATATTATTATAATTGTAATATACAATTTTGTCTTTTTTAACATTATAATCACTTTTCCACATTACCATGTGGAATTCATAATGACCTTTTTAATTTGTTGAATGAGATTCCATTAAGTAAACTACCATAATTTAACCACTAAATTCCTGCCAAATATTTGAGTTTTTTTGATAATACAAATAATGCTACAATAATATTTTCATGAACATAGCTTTTTTGTTCTGTGGAATTCTTTTCCTTAGGATGAATTCCCAAAGCAGGCTTTGTAGAGTAACCATGAATTCTTTCGTGACTTAGATTAGTTTTGTCAAACTGCTTTCCACAAGTTTATACAATTTGTAATTTCCCCACCACTGGGCATAAGCATCATGTCCTCTCCAACCTTCAGTATTGATACTAATATCTTACATTTATTGAATATTTACCGTGTGCCAAACACTGGTCTGAGAGCTTCACGTATATTATTTCATCGTCCTCACAACAAATCTCTGAAATAGCTACTTTTAATTACTCCCTTGCAGATGAGGAAGTTAAGGTTCGGAAAGTTTAAAAGCCATGTCCAGGGTCACACAGCAACTAAGTGGTAGAACTTGAACTCAGCCTCAGAGCCTATCTAATGCCACAGTGTTCTTAACCACCTGGCTATCTTTCTGCTTTACTCTTCCCTCCTCCAAATAATAATAGATGGGAAAAGATATTTTCATTGAAGTTTGTTTTTTTTTTGGTGAGGAAGATCAGCCCTGAGCTAACATGCATGCTAATCCTCCTCTTTTTGCTGAGGAAGACCAGCCCTGAGCTAACATCCATTGCCAATCCTCCTCCTTTTTTTTCCCCAAAGCCCCAGTAGATAGTTGTATGTTATAGTTGCACACCCTTCTAGTTGCTGTATGTGGGACGGGGCCTCAGCATGGCCGGAGAAGCAGTGCGTCGGTGCGCGCCCGGGATCTGAACCTGGGCCGCCAGTAGCAGAGCGCGCACACTTAACCACTAAGCCACGGGGCCGGCCCCTCATTGAAGTTTTAATGTGTAGTTCTTTGATCACTAGCAAAGTTGATCATTTTTACATGTTTGTTTAAAAACTGTATTTTCTTATTGTGTTATTTGTTCATATTATTTAGCAACTTCTGTAAAGTGGGGGCAGTTTTGTTCCCTGTGTATTTTTTACTAATTGGGTGTGTCAGTACAATTCACACAAGAGGCCCAGGCCCCTTCTTGATGACTTCATTGAGCTGTTAGTTTGTAAGAAGAGGTGCTCCTTCTCTTCCTCCTCCTTCCTGCCCAGTATGAATACAAATATGTTCTAGAAAGTTATCATGTCCACATCTTTTCAACATTACTCACTCATATGATATGGTTCTTGGCTGGTTTGGAATGCCCTATCTTGAGTGAGAGTGAAGACCCAATGTCCCCTGAGGGTGACAAACTAGAATAATTTTTTTAACTGAACCAATTTACCAAGGTCTTTGAGAATCAATCGATATCTCATTCTCCCCATCCCCCTCTCTCTCTTTCTCTTTCCATCTACAAATTTCTCTTCTGCTAACTAAGATAAAGACTGAAATATATAGATTTTTTGTGAATACGTGATCCAAATAACTTGGCCATCATTCAAAACTTATCTTCCATAATGTACACTAGAGACGTCATTAAAACCCCATCTATGGTTTACTAAGCAAAATCGGATTTACCTAATAAATTTAAACATTAATAATCCTATTTTAAAATATGCTCCACTACCTGCATTATGTCTTGCAATATATCCAAGTGCCCAGGCTGCAGCCTCCTTGACTCCAGGGTCAAAATCTTCCAAGCATATCACCAGCGTATCCAGCGCTCCACAATCTATTATTGCTTGAGCTAGTTGAGGAGAGTGTTTACCAACTGCTCGTAGCACAAAGGCAGCTGCTTTCTTGTAAAAACGCTGCGAGGATAAAATAGACAAAACCCAAAGTGAATTGAGCACTTACATAACCAGAAGTTAAAACAGACCAAAACCAGCATAAAAATGACTTTAATATAAATAAAGCTCAACAGCTTTTAAATACAAAAGATGAAAAAGTCCTGCAAAATCTTTTGACTTTTTGATGTTCCCTCATTCCTTTTGTTCAGTAACTACACTAAAACAATGTAAGTCTTAAATTACACTTCAAATGTTTTACTCTGAAACATGCATTTGGAAATTGCATAAAATAAAATATAGATATTATATTTCCTACAAATTCATAAAATAATGAGATTTTCTGTATCTGCATTACACTGAAAGGTATTTGTTTGAGCCAGGGGAACTCTTAGATTGTCAGCATGTGCAACTAAACTCTCTGTCAACTGACCGGTTCGCTTCCTTTCTTGCCTTCAGTCTCTAAGCACGGTAGGCCTTTCATGACCTCAACTAATCCTTCTGCGTCCCTAGTTATCCCGAAATGACAACCATGTTCCAAGATGTACTTACCAATCATCAGATAAACATAAAGGCAAAGCATTCATGATACATTTTAACATTTCCTGGCAAATAAACCAGCCAAACAATGGGGTATGTTATTTACCCCCTTAGAAATACTTTATAAAAAAGATAAATACAAATGACTTACCATTGTGTGGATTTTAAGGAATGCTTCATATTTACAATATTTTCTATATATAAATTTTATCTGATTAAGAAACGAAATAAAACTGAAACACAAGACTAACATGTTTTTCTTCATATAACTAAAAAAATTAAATATATAGGAAATATTTGGCTATAACACTCACTCTTGTTTTATGGTTAGTATAATGACACAGTAATGGTCTCCTCACTCTTCCTTTTATTAATAGAACCCAATTAATTCCCTACATCAGATTCTGAGTTTCTGTTTCTTTACAGTGACTACTAAAAAGCAACTGGGTGACTTCAGCAAGTGTTTTGAAAGTGTTCCATTTACTTAGGCTAAAATATTAAGAAACAATAAAATTACAGGAGAGAGAAAACACAAAGTATATGTTTAACATACTATATCTCAAAACTTGGTATATATTGATATAAGAAATATGCTATGTTAGTAGTGATATTTTGATTTGATATATTTCTTTAGTTTCTTAAATGTTAACATATATAGATATTAAAACATTTGTTATAAAGTCTAATGTTATATGTCAGTAACCAAAAATCTACTAATTTATTATAAAAATTAGAATAGAGTTTTAAAGTAGCTTTCCATAGATTATTTTCTTATAATTGCAGAGTAATAATGGTGATACACTTCTTGTCATTACCTTAAGCTAATTTGACTTTTTATATTGCAGAATTTTCAAATTCTCAGACAATTCATTAGGCATTAGTAGTCACTACTAACTACAGTGCCTATAATTCACACTTTCTCATCTCATTCTCCCTTTCTCCTAATTTCTGCTTCCCCAAATTCCTCTCTTCTCTCCCATTCCTTGGCCTTAAAAAAAAAAAAAAAAAAAAAAAACCAAAAGCAAAACCAGAGGACTTTGTACCTCATAAAGAAGAGATTAAATCTCCAGTGGGAAACCAGTTAAAGGACTGGCCAGTGAAGGAGACAGGAGCATGTGAATAATGCTTCACATTCTCACCTTCTCCTCACCTTTCAGCTCTAGCACTTTTTTGTCTCTTTACAACTAATGGACATTCATTCACACTTAGAAAACTTCTATTAAGAACCCTCTATGTGGAATACCAAAACACAGACCTGGCCCTCAAAGGAACAAGCTGAGAGTCCAGGAAGAAGAAAGTCTAACAGAATTTGATCATAGAAGGAAACCTACAAGAAAAATAAAATTTCTGACACTCCTTGTAGAGATAAAACGGTCATTAGTAAATGACTCTCCAATCTATAAAAATAAGGCAAATTTTTAAATAATTAGGATTTGTGTACATTTTTTAAAATTCTGGTAAAATATGCATAAAATTTACTATTTTAACGATTCCAAAGTGTATAATTCAGTGGCATTTAGTGCATTCACAGTTTTGTGCAACCATCACCTATCTAGTTCCAGAATATTTTCCTCACCTCAACAAGAAACCCTGTACGTGTTAAGCAGCCACTCCTCAATCCCCTCTCCCCCCGGCCCCCAGCAACCACTAATCTGCTTCTGTCCCTGTGGATTTGCATATTCTGGATATTTCATATAAATGGAATCATACAATATGTAGCCTTTTGTGTCTGGTTTCTTTCTCTTACCATAACATTTTCAAGGTTCATCCATGTTGTAGCATATAACAGTACTTCATCCCTTTTTATGACTGATAATATTCCATTGTATGGATATATAACATTTTGTTTATCCAGTCATTCTTTTGGCTATTGTGAATAATGCTGCTATGAACATTTGTGTACAAGTTTTGTTTGAACACCTGTTTTCAATTCTTTTGGAAATATAACTAGAAGTAGAATTGCTGGGTCATATGGTAATTATGTTTAACTTCCTGAGGAACTGCCAAACTGTTTTCCGTAGCAGCTGTACCATCTTACACTACTACCAGCAATGTATGAGGGTTCCAATTTCTCCACATCTTCACTAACACTTGTTATTTTCCCTTTTTTTCTTTTTTTTTTTATTGCCATCCTAGTAGGTAAAGTGATATCTCATTGTGGTTTTGATTTGCATTTCCTAATGACTAATGCTGTTGAGCATCTTTTCATGTTTGTTGGCCACGTGTACATCTTCTTTGGATAAAAGTCTATTCAAGTCTTTTGCCCATTTTTTAATTGGATTATTTGTCCTTAGGTTACACAAATAGGAATTTAATCTTAAACATATGTCAAGAAAGATATATACCTAGGTTATGATAAACTAGCAGAATGCAATGAACAGTCAAAGACCCTACCTATAGGAAGGTCCTTAACTATTGTTAGGTGACACTGTATGGAAATTTAGAGTGGAACCAGACAGGCAGGGAAAAAAATGGGGGCACTCATAGATGATCGTTAAAAGGGCTGACATGCTTGCATACTTGATAAAAAATGCTTTATCAAACCTTCTGTAAAACACATTCTTCTTCCTTTTGGATGCTTCTCTCCCCCTTGCTTCAAAGCTGTTTCTTACCATTTCCATTACCCAGATTTCACCTGTATATATATAAGGATTGCTAAAAACAACTTTTTATTTGCCTAGAGCTCCATCACCTTTCTAAGACTAAACCTGTAACTTTAATACTCCCAAACACAGAAATACTGCCTCATTATATATAATTCTGTTAAAATTTTTTAATGTTTTCTCCTTATATTAACAGTAATGGAGAAAAGCTGCATATCAATCCCAAAGTAAAATACCCTCAAGATATTATCATGCACAGTTCCAAGAACTGAGGGTTGTATTAACATCTTAATAATTCTAATGCCTACAAGCTTGCAGGTGTACCCAAACTATCAAATTTTTTAAATCCAAAACAAAAAACATATAACTTATTCTTTAAAAACTCTTACATTCTGTTCTGCCAATGAATAGACAAGCTGTGGAAGAATGTCACCCTTCACAACTGCTTCTGCCAGCTCATCATTATAATTAGCCAGTCTCCCAAGCGCCAGAGCGGCCGTCTGTTGAATTGTCGGGACCACATCCAAGAGAAGAGGCCTCAGCAAAGACATTACACCTGAGTTAAGTTATGAAAGAAGAGAAGTCAGCAAAATTTAAATTAAAAAGTAAACATACAATTAAGCATATATGCAGATAAGAAAATTAAGGGGGAAAAGATCAGTAAAAACAAAAAAATTATCCACTAAAAACTAATAGGATATTTAGAAGACTACAACTGGCCAAGACACAGAATAAGACAAGCTGTAATTATCCAAGCAGCAGCACAGCGTGAAAAGAAGGAAAGCTCTGGAGTTAGAGAAGAGTTTAAGTCCCTGACTCGGCAAGTACTAGCTCTGCAGCCTGATAGGGCTGTCTGTCACGAGGGACGCGGAGAGAAGCCGTGAAGCATGTAAGATAACGCCTACCTAGCACATGGTAGGGGGTAGGGAGCGGGCACTGGGGAACAGGTTCCCCCAGCCTTTGCAAATCCTATGTTTGAGGGCTCAGGTCAGGTCCTTTCCTCTCAATGAAGTCTTCCATTTGTTTTTTCGCTGATTCCAACTGAACTTAGAATTTATGACAGATATTTTATCAGGATCTATCTCCAGAGCCAGGGGAGCTAGGAGGACCATTTGGCTAGGGTCTCACACTCCTGAAGGGCTGCAAATTCAGATTTCTGACATTATCTCCAAATAAATAAATTCTTTGAGATAAGGAAGTATATTGTATTGCCCTCATAATATTCATTCTAGGGTTGAATACATAGTATGTATATCATTATCACAACAACAGTAATAAAAGCAGCTCATATTTATCGAGCACTTATTATACACACACATTGTTTTAAGGACTTGTTTTCCATATTAATTCACTGAACTCTCATAACAAACCTATGAAGTAGGCCCTAATATTATGTCTATTTCATAGTTAAGGAAATGAAGGCTGAGAAAGGTTAAGAAAATTGTCACACAACTAATAAATGGTGGAGCAAGGTTAGAAATTCAGACATTCTTTATTGATAATTGCTAAATAAATAATATATATTGAAAATTGAAGAGGTGGGGAAAGGGAGACAAATAATAATTGCATTTTGGTCGTTTTACTGCATATTCCAACTCTTTATACTAACTTTACCTTGCTATAAAATATGCAAAAGAGTCAACTGCTATTTATGCTTTAATGATGGTGTTTTAGTCTAAGGTTACAAGAAAGGTAATGACAGAGTTCAAACTGGAACAAAGGGCCCCTTGACTTTCTCAACTTAATTTACAGCAGGCTGTTCAACTTGATGTTATTACATCTTTTCTTTAAAAACTCCTACCCTAGTGATCTATAAAAGTAAATACTACCAATATTCTTTTATGATGTTATATCCAGAAACATTTGAAATAGAATAAAAGGAAAACATTTACAATCACATTTAGAATTAGACCAAAATAAGATAAACAGTACTACCAAATAACATAAGCAGAGAATAATGATGCTTATCATACATACATTTAGTGACGTGACCTGTGGCTTTTCATAGTTGCCAATTTCATTTAGTGATCATTTTTATGTCTCAGTTGGTTTGGTTAGATCATCTTATATAAGGCCACAGTTGTGAGTTTGAATCCCACTCAGGCTGGTTAACTTTGCAGCCACACAGGACTCCTATCCATGCCGAGGTCAGAGCTCACGTTAAACAAATCAACGTGTCCATGTTCACAAGTGTTGCTTATACACTTTTTTATAGAGATAATTTCTGAAATATCTCACAACAAAAAGTTTAAAGCCTAGAATAAGGTATTAGAATGACTAAGGTCTAATAACTAATATTAGACATTAATATTACAAAAACTAAATGTTATCATGGGTTCTTTCTAGAAAGTTGGATTTAAAACAATTTATTGATGTCTTCTTTGTAGTTTGCTGTATTTATTACTTGATTTTTTTTTTTTAGTTTTTTAATTGTGGTAAAATATACGTAACAAAAATTACCATTTTAACCATTTTTCGTGTACAATTCAGTGGCATTAAGTACATTTACAATGGTGTGTAATCATCACCACTATCGAGGAACCGTTAAACTTTCCCACAGAGGCTGCACCATTTTATGTTCCCACCAGTAGAGTACAAGTGTTCAAATTTTTCCACATCCTCACCAACACTTATTTTCTTTTTTTTTTTTTTTTTTTAATAATAGCCATCCTAATGGGTGTGAAGTGGTATCTCATTATGGTTTTGATTTTCGTTTCCCTAGCACTAATGATGGTGAATGTCTTTCCATGTGCTTATTGGCCATTTGCACATCTTCTTTATTGAAATGACTATTCAAGACCTTTGCCCATTTTGTAATTGGGTTGCTGTTGTTGTTGTTGAATACAACCTGATATTTCTGATAATGAATATGTGCCATTCTAAGTAAAATAAGTCAATACTCTAAAAAATAAAAGCTAAATTTGTTAACATATATTTAAAGTTTCATAATAAATACATCAACGAAGCCAAAAGATATAAAGTACAAGTATGCTTAGAGTAGTTTTAAAAGAATCACAATTATGTTTCATATTATTTTTTCCTGATGATTCTGATATTTCCTTTTATTCTCACTTGATATATTTATGGGAAGGCAGTGGCTTATTGTCTTTTGAAACATAATTAGAAAATCACTTCATACTAGGTTATTCAACCTAGATATTCTGAATTAAATCTCAAGAACTTTGAACTTTTAAGAATTTGAAGAATGAATTCATCTATCTAGGTCTATGATATTTAATTTCATTATAAGTGTTTATTACTAATTACAGTATTTAGGTAAGGTATCACAAGTCTCTCAATTTTGGAAAATTTCAATTTGCAATTTTAGTGTAAAATATTTTATCCCCAAAAGGTGTTTCACTTGGCCATATACTCAAAGGAATTTTCTGCTCTATATATTTTCTCCTCAATTTCTACTGCATCTGGCCCAGGAAAAATAAGGTCAATAAAATGACATAATTCCTTTCCTTCTATTCCTGTATTCAATATCAAAGTTAGGCTTCTATGCAGATGCTTCTGCTCTACCATAATTTTCCTATATTCCTTAGTTCAAACAGTAGCACAATGAGAATTTTGAAAAATTTTAAATCTCTGAACCTATAAAAGTAAAAGCTAAAGTTTCAGTTTAAAATATATTTGTTTGAATAAGGTCATTCTTATTAGAGAAAATATTACCCCAAATTTCTAGTCCTTGAATTGCCTCTTTAATGCTTCATAATCATCAGTCCCCAGGGACATGTTTTTATCTCTTACACAGATTAAACATGGAGACTTTGTCATTCTAATTACAGATTTGTCCTAAAAATACGGATATTGATGCAAGAGGAACTGAGGAAGGATGGGAGGAAGGGAGGGAGGGAGGGAGAGAAGGAAGGGAGAGAGAGAAGGAAGGAAAAAAGAAGCATATATAACATAGAAAGTTTTCCTTACCTGCCTGTCTACTAGGAATCCATGGTGATTGATCCTTGGGGAGCGAATGTATGAAAATTTAGAGTCCATAAATTACAGCAATCTGAATAGTTGCTAGAATATCTGATAAACAAGATCTCTAATGAGCAGCTAATGACCTCACTGGGTCTTCACTGAAGGAGCTAACATTTGCTATCTAATATTAAAAATAATAATTTCTATATTGTACTTTAATATCTATAAAAAAATTCTGTCTACTGTATAAAAACTGATAAAATGGTGTGCAACTATTTCTGAAATTTAACTTATAGAATAAATCTTTACAATTCTCCTCCTCCCCTAACTTTATAGCTTTGAGTTCCATTTCTATTTTCTTGTTCCAGGGCTATACTGGAGATATTGCTGCTAATACCTACACTGCAAACCAGTTATGCAAAAAAACAAAAACAACCTGTGATCCTGCCCACAGTCATTCTTTCAAAAAATACAGCAGGGTTTACCCAGTGGCAAGCAGCAGGACTACACATATGAGTTAAGGCAGCTCCTGCTCTCAAGAAACTAATAATCTAGTGGAGCAGATTATAAAATAGCCTCAAAATAATCACAACTCTTTAATTCCTTTTAATAAAAGGTAGGCATAATTACTTTGATTTTGCATGCCAATTCCATATGTAAGTCAGGAAGGAAATGTCAAACATTTCCAAAGACAAAAAAATAACCCATTCATTCTCATATTTATATATGAGAATGAGGGCCGGCCCGGTGGCTTAGCGGTTAGGTGCGCGCGCTCCGCTGCTGGCTGCCTGGGTTCGGATCCCGGGCGCGCACCGATGCACCGCTTCTCCGGCCATGCTGAGGCCGCGTCCCACATACAGCGACTAGAAGGATGTGCAGCTATGACATACAACTATCTACTGGGGCTTTGGGGGAAAAAAATAAATAAATAAAATTATATATATGAGAATGAGTATATAATTTATATGCATATTACCTCAATCTGCTGTTTTACAAAGACATTTAACACGCAACTTTGTTCCTTTAAAAACAAGTGTCTGCAAACTGGGCCTTTGGGTCCATTTAAGTCTTGCTAAAGATTTCTGGATGCCCCGGTTACCTCTTACCTTCTTTGTTTTGTTTTTTAATTTTTTAAATTTTATTTATTTTTATTGTGGTAAAATATACATAAAATTTGTCATTTTAATCATTTTTTAGTGTACAATTCAGTGGCATTAAGTACAGTCACAATGTTGTACAACCATCACCACTATCATTTCCAGAACTTTTTCACCATCTCTAACAGATACTCTATACCCATTAAACAATAATTCCCCATTTCCCCCTACCCCCAGCCCCTGCTAACCTCTATTCTACTTTCTGCCTCTATGAATTTGTCTACTTTAGATACCTCATATAAGTGGACTCATACAATATTTGTCCTTTTCTTCAGCTTATTTCACTTAGCATAATGTTTTCAAGGTTCATCCATCAGAGCTATCCACTGTAGCATGTATCAGAATTTCATTCCTTTTTAAGGCTGAATAATATTCCATTGTATGTATATACCACATTTTGTTTTCCATTCATCTGTTGATGGACATTTGAGTTGTTTCTACCTTTTAGTTATTGTGAATAATGCCACTATGAACA